GGCATGTGGAGTGTGTACGAGAGCCGCAACCACAAGAACAGTAACAAGCGGTCATTTTTACCACAATACGTACCACGCTTCTGTGCACCACGAGAGCGTCTCTCGATAAGAATCGATTTATATATCTTTGTTGTGGCGGAAAAACGAAAAGAAAAACAAGTGAGAGTTCTTCACCTGCCCTCTCCATCCACGCGGGGGGCCGCAGCTCGGATCTTCTCGAACGTCGTTGGCACACGAGACAGGACCTTCAGCGGGAATATGTTTTTTTCGATTGTTCGGTGCCCCGCGCCGTGTTATGACCAAAACGGAGGAGGTGGTGTGGATCAACACGCGGTTGCGGAGCAGAGGGCCACACGGTCAGAGGGAGTAGGCACGACAGGAAAGCTACTCGCAGGCAGGGTGGGTGGGGCCGTGGTTGAGACAGAAACAAACAAGAGAAAAAAAAAAAAAAGTGGCGAAGATACTTGTAGTACATAAACATCCAACATACACCGGCACTATCAATTCTGAAGCATTGGCATGGGACGCTGAGATGTTACAGCTCGCCCACGAGCGATGGTACCGAATATGTTCCGGGACACCCACAAGCTATCGACCATTTTGATCGGACGAAAAAAAAACACCTGCGGCGCCTGGATAGCACACATGTTCTATCATATTGTTTCACGGACAGGAAGCCCTACAAAAAAAAAAAAGCCAAAGAAAAATATAATGATGGTGCTGCTTTTGACTACCTCGAACTTTTCTGGGAACTTTTCCCGGAAGTGGTCTGCTGCGGCGAAAGCGTCGAGAAAACTCGTCTGGCCACCCTTTCCCCCTTCGTCGAACTCCAGGCAGTGGAGAAGCTGCGCGGAAAGGAAAGGGCGGCAGGTTGGGGTGGGTGGGGGGCTCATTCGGCGTTTGGCCCTACATCCCTTTGTGAGACGGTGCTGTTTCGCGGTTCGCTTCCACGTTTGCCGCACATTTCGCAAATAACATACTTTCAAGCATTATTTTGCGGAGGCGGGAGAAAGGGGGGGGGGTACTGAATAGTGGAGAATGGCGACAGTGAGGGTCAGGGGGAAATGGTACGGACAGCGAGGCGCCGCGTCAGATCCTACAGGCTTCACACCGTTGGCAGCCATTCCCACGTCGGTTGTTTCTTTCAATTTTTGTAACGGCTTTGCGCGACCTCCTGGCTACCTCGTTCACCGCCGCCGCCTCTACCTTAGGTTGCATGACGTAAGATACCACACCTCATGGACCGATGCTCAACGCTTGAGTACTCCACATAGCGAAAACGGCAACGATGCCAAAAGTGGCGGCGTTGTTGGAACCGTCCGTCTTGTAGACAGGCTTTCCGAAGATGCATCGTTTGGTCGTGGCACACCATTCGTCGTGGAGCAATCGAGCCTCGAAAGTCGCTCGAGGGGGTGTGCTGTCCTACGTATGCAACCTACGTATTAACCCATGAGCCCCTGCTTCTGTTGTTGCGGAGACGCGCTCACCGGTGCTGTTTGGAAAACAATAGGTTGAAGGAGCCATGCATGACTCTCGAAAACGCACAGAAATCGCCGGCAGCAAAACCATCTCACCTGTAACCCTGGAGCGCTCTCGTAGTACACGAGATCCATGTGCATACGCAGTCGCTCGTTGGTGTAGGCCATGTTACGCGGGTTAGCCTGTTGTCCCGAGGGAGGATGAGAACGGCAGGAAGAACCGCATCAGCTCAAGAGGCGAAGCGTCGTGGCAGGGCTTGCAAATCTGGGGAGATAGGCGCTCGTTAAGTGGCTGAACCGCCGTCTGCTGCAGTTAGTTGCGACGCATGTATCGTGCGAAGAATTCCCTCCTTTTCTCTTTCTCTGCAGCCGTGGTGTGGTGCAATCCACCTTCTACCTGCTCTGCCTTTAGCGCCACGACCTACTGATGATGATGATGTTTTCTGTGCGTGAGTCAAACTTGACCTTCCCAGGGTTTGCGTCTGCTGAAAGGGTCGCGCGACGTAATCTTTGTGTCCTGGCGCCTATTATCCGTCTAGACCAAAAAACAAAACACGCGGGAAAAAATCCCAGACACGTCCCTGTGCCTCAAGCAACGCACTACAGCAGGACAGCTTCACCCACCAACGCCAAAACGATAGCAACACCAACACCATCAACAACAACAACATACAAAGAGGCAGCGACACCAAACACCACCACCACGTATTCGCCAACCAGCCCTTCGTGCCCTTACCCCGACGTGTGTCTCACCTGAGAGACCACGTCGAACATGTCGCCGTAGAGGGTGTGGTGGGACACGGGCGCCACGCGGCGGGCCAAGTCGAGCACCGTTCCCTCTTCAACCCCGGCGTTCTCGAGCAGGACCACGCCCACCCGGTTGACCTTTCTCAGCGTCTTGTACAGCGCGCCGTCGTCCTCCATGTACTCTCGAGCATCCACCTTGTGGGACGCGCACACGTGCGGGCGACCAGGGAAACGGGATCGGGATCGGGTGACAAGCTGACCTTGGAGGTCAGGGTCCTGTATGCCACTTACCCTGAGTGTGCGCACTGATGTACCTAAAAACTATTGCGTGAGAGCTTATCATTGTACCGTCACACCAAACCAAGAGCGAAATTGTTGTACCTAGTGCCGGCAGACACACCGGGGGGAAAACTTGTATGTAGGGCGCAACGCCATTTGCAATTTCACAGGCAGTGGTAATGGCGACATAACCGACATTGCAACCGAAACAAACAACGTCAAACAACAAATCGACACAAGGTTGGCACTCCATAACTAACCGTAGGCAACAGCGGCAGTGATACCATACGCTACAAGGCACGCATGGGTGACGCGCCGAACACAGACGGTGCCAAATGATAACACAAGCACTACCAGACAACGAGCGCAGGGAAGGCCAGGACAGAGACACCTCTCTGCGAAACACACACACAAAAACCGCCGCAGCATATGTCGCACGTGTCGGATCCAGCTAGTGCGTTTGCACAGGGAGGGTTCGGACCCGCCTAACCCTAAGGCTAACAGCCCTTTGCACACACCATGGGGACAACCCTGTGCACACACCTGACATATTCGCGTTTGGAATCGCGCACCCTGAAACACCCACCTTGGGGATCGCGTCCCAAGCGCAGAGGGGGGCCGGCCGGCTCCCGTGGCTGCGCTCGTGCAGCGCCGAGGGGGAGTTGTCGTGCTCTCGCAGCCAGGCCGTCCCGTAGGAGCTTAGGTGTCCGTCCGACCAGGTGATGCTCACTCGCGAATCCCCGGCCGATGTCTGCCGCAAACGAGGGCACCCGAGCGGAAACCGAAAAAAAGTTGTACACTTTCGGGTTAGGGTTTTGAGGGTCCCAGCAGCCTTCGCGAGGATATTGATCTTGGTTTTAGTAGGGGGTATACGGGTGGGGGTAGGGGTTAGGGATAGCGATACGAAACCCCCCACTCTATTTCGTAGATTGATAAGAGTATCAGGCGATGCCGAGGAAGGCTGTAGACATAGTGGCGGCCGCGCATATTTCAACACGGACGGGTGGCGGTGTTGTTCCCGTGGCGCATGCGTGCGTACACGCGCACACGTGTGCATCGGTTCGAGCTGACCGGCCACGCCGTGTCTACCCTCCGAGGCCTCCAAGGATCGCCTGACCTTAGTAGTAACGTTCGGGGTCGCCTTCCTCATACCCCCAAACAAAATCTTGTAAGAGACAGAAACTTTGTCAGGTGTTGTTGTCATAAGGAACGGGGGAGTGTGCAAATCGTCTGAACTGATGTCGAAAAACGATGTACTGGTATGAGATTTACCGCGGCAAAAATGCAAAAACACAACGCGTTCAGGTGCCACAAATGAAGAATGGCGTGGGCGTCTGCCGGGACTGAAAGTATCAATTTGTTTGCCTCGCTCATTTCTCCTGTGTCGCGAGTGCTGCTCTGTATCATCAAGACTGTTGTATGTGGTTGTAGGCTACGGCATGTGGTTTTCTGCGTGTGCTTGGTTGATGCGGACATCACCGTCCACCGACATACTATCTGCATTCGTGCTTGAGGTACAGCAGTAGTCAAACTGCTGTCCTATAATAGAGTCTTGACACATGCCCTTCAACACCGTCAACACTCTCTGAAACCAATGACATGCAGAGCCGACGATGGAGAGAAAGGCAAGGTTTGACCCCCAAGCCACTGGACAGTGTGATTGTGATTGTGGGTTGTGGTTGTTATTATTGGTTGTCTTCACCCCTAAAAACCGTTCCGGTGTCTGCTCAATACCTTGCAACATTTTGCCGGTCCAACTAGATAACGCGGGCGCCTTTCGTGGTCACATGCCAACTATTGCACCTCCCGAAGTGAACAAAATCGAGTGAAACACACACAAGCAGCTCTGCTGTGTGTGCCGCACTTTTCTTCCCATCACCTGCCAACTACATACTTACATCCGTGCAGGGCACGCTCGCAGTCGTATGAACCACAAAAAAAAAAGAAGGGAAAATCATCACAAACATCGTTGGGCACACATGTATCTCTAGAGAAAATATCTCTACCACATCATGATGCGATGTTTCCATCCAATCTGTGTGAGGGCAGCAGGATTGGTACAAAGTGTGTCATGGATGACCCTAACCTGGTTGTACTACTGGTATTTAGGCACCATGGAACACGACCAATTATTTGACCAAGTGGTTCGCACTGCTGTCCTGGATCTCGTGTATCAAAGTCGTTGAACTTCGCTGTTCGCTGAGTCTTGGATGGTGTTAGGGGCTGAGATGATTGCCGAGAGGCGTGTCGAAGTCGCAGTCCAACCTCGCAGTCAGGCGCCACAAATTAGGTTGAGATTTTTTGTACGCATACACCACAACGTGAACACAAAAAAAATAGGATTCCCATTTTTCCTTTAATAGGGCTACCTCATTCTGAAGCGTTAGCTTCAGTCTCATCGTTCAATATCCGTGGAAGTTTCATTCGCATGCCCCACCCCTTGCCCGACCCGGCCTAAAATGCTGATCTCGAGCTACAGCGCAAATCTCGTGGCGCCTCGAGTATGGTTCGGTGTGGAATCGCAAGTCATGAGCCGTCCCCGAGTTTGAGCGGCTTCGGCCTCCTGTGGCCGGCAAGAGTCGGCCTTGACTGTTCCTTGCCTGTTTCGCCATGGAAACGGCCGGTTGAACAGCGAAAGAGGGTCCTGCGTGCTGCGCGCCACATTTTGTTTTTTCCGTTTGTTCTTGAGTGACCATTGTACACATGCGGCTGCTGCTGCGGTTTCTGCTGTTGTTATGGTCGGAATGTGTTGCAATGGCCGTACGGTTATTATCGTAGTCAGGTTTGACAACAGTCTGCTCGTTCGTATAGCGGTAGCGGTGCGCATCTATCGCGACGGCAAGCGCATTGAAATAATAGTTCGTCCGTCGTGCTTCTATTAGTCTACACAGACAGATAGTCAGTCGTGTTCTTCTTTGTTTCCACTTCATACCAGAAAAGAAAGAAAGTCTCCACCATCAACTTACAGTATCTCCGCAGCAGTTCGGAAACGACGACTATTTTTCTTTTGTCGTGTTTGTTGTTGCTGAGCGCACATCGGATGTCGCCGTTCGTTACACGTGTTCAAGCCTGCGGTGGACCAGAGGGATGAGAGTGAGCGTCTTCTCGACCAGAGTTCATGCCTTGTCTTCTCGAGTCTCTCTTCCTTTAGTCTACCTCTCTCTCTCTCTGTTGCATTCTCGCCATTAGGGTCCCCAATAACATCGAACGTCAACGGCAATTGTTTTGCGTCTTGCTGAGTACGAGGCTACCCGTGTACGTACCCGGCTGCTGCATGTGAGGCAATGGGCGCCGCCTCTTTCCGTCAAGCAATGCGCATGGCCCCTACGGTTCGCCGCACATGCAGTGCTGTGTGACAGCTTCCAGCGGTTCAGAGCGGCGACGGTGTTTTTCGCCGGTAGAGCCCCAGAACAACGCGAACCCCGCGATTGTTTCATTGTTTTGGGGTCCCCCACTCACCCACCCATCCATGAATTTCTGCAGTTTTCGTTGGGGGGATGTTTTTCTTGTCATGTCCATGACGTGGTGCCCCGAGCGAGTATGGTTCGGTAGGGACTCGCAAACCATGACCCCTCCCCGACTTTGAGCATCAGCTTCGGCCTCCTGTGACGGACAAGAAGACCAGACATTGTCTCGCCATCCAAACAACACCTCAAGTACGGTTCCGTAGGAATTGCAAATCACGACCCCTCCCCGACTGTGAGTATAGCTTCCACCTCCTGCGACGGATAAGACCGACGTCAAACCCTAGATTTTGTCTGTCTGTGCCGCCATGTCGTCGCCATCCACGAACAACAGCAGTCGGAGAGTCACAAAAAAGAGGGTCCGCTTCGCCACCAAGAAAACATTTTTTTTTTCGATTCTTCTACAGCTGGATATGATGCTACCATGTATCGGGTATAGCTGTGGTTGAGCTTGAGGGATATAGGGTCTACGGCAGCATATTCTATGCGAAGAGTTAACGCCGTCCTCGCGTAACGATGCGCATCTCCCACGGCAAGCAGAATGGATGACGTCATCATGACGCTATTTCTTGTGACTACAAGTTCAAGTTCGCCCGGGCGTTTTTGTTCTTGCCGGAGAAAGAGACTAAACTTCTACTATGTACCAGTCCGTGCATGTATCCGGCTACTGCATGTGAGGTAGTGGGTGCTGCCCCTGCTGTTTGCTGCGGTACATGGAAAGCTTCCAGTGGGTCGGAGCGGCAAGGGGGTCTTGTTTCTTCACTTGTTTCTTAGCTCTGCTCTCCTCTACTTCTTCTTTGTTTCGTGTCTCTGGCGGTCTCTCTTTTGGTATAGCCCTTCGTTCTTGCTTGCAAGAAATTGTGAGGATGTAAAATGGCTGAGTCTGATTGTTTCTTAGGGCCCCCCGCCCACCCACGACCCACCTGTCAGTATGATTCATTCGTGATCTCCAATATTTTCAGCAGTAGTTGTCTACTACAGGACATGCGCTACTACTGCTGCGTCCATGGGTGGGTGCAACAGAAGAGCTCCGGGGACTGGTGGTCTTCTGACCTGATCGCAGAGAGAGGTTCCTGCCACTACCACAATACGACTCTTATTAAATGTCCATGACGGGGAACGCGTACTACGCCTCTTCTCTTTTCTTTTCCCTCTCTCCCGTCCGGTTCTTTCGTTTCGGAGAGGAAACCTCCTGTGAAAAGCGCATCTTCTGGGGTCCGCATTCATTTAGTCCCGGATTCTTTCCCGGCGTGCGGAAGAGCGCGTTGTTGGGTGTGGTCGTGTGGTCTCCTTTTTATTCGGGTGTGACGTACGCACTACATATATGTAAACGAAAAAAACAGATCAACGAGATGATTCTTGAAAGCATGGAGTCCCTCGCCACAAAAAAGTGCATGCGCATGGATGGGCGTAGTGAGAAGTGCCGGTCGAAGACTGACGGTTTTTTCGGGTGCGCGTGAGATCGCCTCTAATATTCGTTTGCTCATTTTTTGCTTCATTGTCCAGTCTATAGTTACTACCTCGCATAGCGTATTGAAGCGAGCGGAGGGTCCTAGACTAATAAATATGTCGTTGACTTGCGGACCCTTCTTCGGGTCCATTTTATTTTCGTATAACTTTTTTGGGTAAGTTAGCATGTGACCACGGCGGGAATCGACCGCGTCAAGTATACATAATAGTACGAACAGACGAAGAAGGTACAAGAAGGTACTGGGTAGAGAGAACAGAACGAACGGTTTTTTGTAATTTATTGTGAAGACAACAACAACGGCACTGCTGGGTTCGTCCATGGATAGTTTTTGCAGCACTTTTGTTTAAAGTATTTGAGTATAAAACGACTTCTTCATGGATGGGTAATGAGAGGTTTCAATTCAACTACTGTACTACAATATCTTACTTACTGGAGTATGGAGGGTGCTCGTTGTTCTTATGCATGGCATGTACCGGCAGTAGTAGGTGACATAATATATCGCATCATCAATCTTCACAGCTTATAATGTTAATCCACGACGACGAGGACGTCAAACGATAGGTTTGTTTCGGAAAGCTATCGGTGCCAACGCCGCCCGGCCACGATTTCTGCTGTGGAGCAATCGAGCTTTGAAATTAAAAATTGTTCAGGGGGTGTGATATCTTATGTCATCTACTCTGTGTTAGAACTCTTTGTCGTGCTCGGTGGGCGAGCGTGTCGCGGTGTGCGCCCTCGACTTTATTAACCGCTAAAAAATTGGAAAGCTTCAGACAGGCAACGCGACGATACTCGTCGAGATGCTATCACAATGAAGAAAAACAAAAAGTAAAAAGTATGGCTAGCAGTTGTATTTGTTCCCAAGCTCGGTAGAGCTTGGGTCTCTATCGACCTAAATTCACTTTTCTGTCCCTGTCATTTTCATTTGCATAGCCCACCCCTTGCCCGACAGTGTCTCAAATGCTGCTCTCGAGCTACAGTGCAACTCTCGTGGCGCCTCGAGTATGGTTCGGTAAGGAATCGCAAACCATGACCCCTCCCCGAGTTTGAGCAGCTTCCACCTCCTGTGGCCGACACGACCCGGCCTTGACTGTTCCTTGTCTGTTTCGCCATGGGAACGGCCGGTTTAACAGAGAAAGAGGGTCCTGTGTGCTGCGCGCCACAATCTTCCATTTTTTTGTTTGCGTTTGTGTGTCATTTGTTTCTTGCTGAGTGATG